GGTTTGTACCAGACTCAGTTTTCACACAGCCTTCACAGATTATACTAGGGCTGCCCCCTAATAGTCGATTAGTCAAGTCATTAGTCGTGAGTTGACCGAGGTGCTTGTAATCGAGCTTTTGCTTTTATGCTTTTTTTTTTTTTAAAGCTGGTGGGCATTACAATAAAGGCAGCCCCAGTCTGGTAGTTTGTCGTTGTCTTCTCCTCATTTCTGTGTGCCAAGCTGCAGTTTCCTCATTACTTCCCCCTGTGGTTGGGGGGCAGTATCCACTTCAGTGGTGACACTGTCTGATGCATGGATGGATAAGGTTGGATGACATTATTTAGCAAATTGCAAAACAAGGACAAAAGGACAACAAACCCCACTAGGACAAGCCACATAAAAGTGAGATTTGTACTTTATTAGAAGTGTTTTCAAACATCGTGGTTCACTTTTACAAAAGAAAAGACTGTTGAAACGATGTGGCTGGTTTTGTCTAATGTTATGTGAGTCCAGTTTCTTTACCCCACTCCTTTAAGGCGTAACGCACAACTGTTTATTGACTGTTTCTGATACATGCATTCATCCAAACGGGACTAGGAAACAAACAAAAATCTGCAGGGAAATCATTTCACTAAGGAATTATAAATAAGAGGAATTGTTCACAGTGCAAGCTGGCACACATCAAACATACAGTAACAATATGACTGTGGTTAACTGATGGGAGAACCTTAAACCTGTTGGTAAACTAGGCTATAATCATGTCTCAGAAGAAAAAATAGCCTATAAGAGCATTGTTTCAACAGAAATACAAGTGTGTGCTGCCTATCTCCTTATTCCAACAAATCCATATGGCAGCCTGACATGATACAGTATATCATTAATTTAAATATTGCATCATATGCTGCTGTCTTTTATTGATTTTTAAATGCTCAATAAGGTCCACGTCAGGTGTTGAGGAACGAGGGCAACCTGATGAGCTACTGGAACAAGACATTCATGGACAAGAGATGAGAACAGGGAACTATTGGAATGCCACTATACCCTACTATACCCTATTACTATATAAGTAATCCCAGCGAGAGGGGTTACATACGGAGGATGTGGGGCCTATGGATACTTCAAAACCCAACATCTAGACTAACATTGAAACAACTAGTAGCTCAGTGCTCTAACATCTCTACTAGAGGATGTGAATTCAGCACTAAGAACAATCCCTACTACGACCATCACTGAGACCAACAAGCTCATATACTGTACACCACAGCAACCGTCATCCTTAAGATGCTTGGCTATAGGTTCATAAGGAGCAGTATCCTCCATGGAGAAAGAGGTTGGAGACCAAGATCAAGGCAGCAAGGAGAGAAGTTGAAGAAAGGGGTACTTAAGACATGCAACACACTGTCCATACCTAAAGCCTTAAAGACTGCCAATCAAAGGCTCACAGCCCTGGCCATGTGGTTGAAGAGGTACACCAGAGAAGTTGAAGCCAGAAGAGTAAACTGAATGTTCTCCACTGAGCCATCCAAGGTGCACTATCAGTGGCAGGGTACTAACATGAGAGCAGACCCACCAAGGCTGGAGAGTGAACAATTCTGGAAGAGCATATGGGAGAAGGAGGCATCACACAACAACAGTGCCCAATGGCAGGTGGACCTAAGAGCAGACCACAGCAACCTCCCTGAACAAGACCCAGTAATCATCACAATGGCAGACATTCAACAGAGCGTCTCAAGTATGAAGAGCTGGACAGCACCAGGCCCCGACATGATCACCGCCTACTGGTTAAAGAAGCTAACTTTACTCCATGAGCGCCTGGTGGGACAAAGGAACCAGCTACTAATGGATGGAACCCACCCTGAGTGGTTAACTGAAGGCTGGACAGTCCCGATCCTGAAGGACCCTCAGAAGGGAGCAGTACCATCCAACTACTGCCTCTGCACAACATGGAAACTCCTGTCAGGCATCATAGCAGCTAAGATGGGCAGGCACATGGCTCAATACATGAGCAGGGCCTAGAAAGGAATTGGTAGTAACACCAGAGGAGCAAAGCACCAGCTACTGGTTGATAAAGTAGTCACTTGAAACTGCAAGACCAGACATACACAGGTTGCTGTGCACTGCCTGGATTGATTACAAGAAAGCCTATGACTCAGTGCCTCACACATGGATCCTGGAATGCTTGAAACTGTACAACATCAACAGGACTCTAAGAGCCTTCATCAAGAACTCAGTGGGAATGTGGAAAACAACCCTAGAGGCAAACTTCAAGCCAATTTCAGAAGTCAACATCAACTGCGGTATCTACCAAGGATACCGCAACAAGGATGCTCTGTCCCTGCTGCTGTTTGCATAGGGCTGAACCCCCTCTATATGGATGACATCAAGTTGTATGCCAGGAGTGAATGAGACATCGACTCACTGATCCACACCACTAGGATCTACAGCCAGGACATCAGAATGTCATTCGGACTAGATAAGTGTGGTTGAATAGTAACAAGGAGAGGAAAGGTGGTGAACTGAGCGGATTGTACTACTAGAAGGCAACATAGCAGATGTTGAGGGCAGCTACAAGTACCTTGGGATCCCGCAGGCAAATGGGAACCATGAAGAGGCCGCAAGGAA